CCCTCCCCGCGGTCAGCCTGCCAGGCCGTCTGGTCAGTGTTACCTCCAAAATAATCACGGGCCTCCTCACCCCGCTGCCATCTCAGTAACCGCCCCGCCACGGCCTAGGTCCCACCATCTCACCTCCACAGAGCTGGAATCCGCTCTAAAGACACTTAGACACATTGTATCTTTTCCACTCTAAAGACACTTAGACACATTGTATCCTTTCCCTGCTCCGCTCCCAGGGGCTCCCAGGTGCGCTTAGGCTACAATCCAAACCACCACCCTCTGGCTCCTGACTGCCCTGGGCCGGCGACAACCGCTCTGGGCCTGAAAGTCTTCACCTGTGAAATGAGGGCTGGTGACCCCCGTCCCCTACTGGACGCTGTAAGGATTAAATGGCCCCGCGCCCATCACATCAGCTACTTTCCCATCCGGCACCCCTCTTCCCTGCCTCCCCGCCTCCCGCTTCCCCAGTCATCGCTTCCCAATTTCTCAGATGTTACTAACACTGCTGCCAAGACCATCCCCGTTTTAATATCCAGAGTTATTCTGATTTCTTCTCCCCGCCCGCCCACACCCCCGGCGTCCTGCCCGCTCCTTTTCAACGCTGTTCCGCAGGCTGTCGTCGGGGCAGTTGGGCAAGACGCAGGAACACAAGGCATTCCGGTGGGAAAGGAAGGAAAATCGGTCCATACGTGCGCACGACATGTGTGCCTGTAGGACACGCACGCAGCTATTAGAGCTAGTAAGTGAGTTCAGGACGCAAGATCAATATACAAAGGTCGGCCGCAAGACTCCTGCGCTGGAAACTACAAAACACGGCTGAGGAATATTACTCGGCCATGAAAAGGAGTGAAGCGCCGACCCCTGCTGCGACGTGAATGAACCTCGAAAACATGACGCTGAGTGAGAGGAGCCAGACACGAAAGGCCGCGTCGTGTGATTCCATTGATATGAAACGCCCAGAATAGAGCTGGGATCTCGCCCTGGCCGGCTTGGCTCAGTGGTTAGAGCGTCGGCCTTTGGACTGAAGAGTCTCGGGTTCGATTCCGGTCCAGGGCCATGTACCTTGGTTGCGGGCTCAATCCCCGGCCCCAGAAGGGCCACGTGCTGGAGGCGACCAATCGGTGTGTCTCTCTCACACCATGTTTCTCTCTCTCCCCCTTCCACTCTCTCTGAAAAGTGATGGAAAAAGTCCTGACTCCAGGGCCCAGCCCTGACCTGCTCAGTGAGCATCTCGGTGTGAAAGCCAGGAGTCTGCGCTTCACCCAGACACCCCAGCGGGACCCGTGGCAGGATCTGCAGGGCCCGGTGACATGGAAACGCAGGGCCTCTTGTTCAGGAATCATTAAGAATTTCAAGACGGTGGCCACAGCGCCTCAGAGCCAGTGTGGGCCCGTCTGCGGGCGGCTGACTGGTGTTTGGGATGGGGACTCTGTCCCCAAGGGAGGGGCGTGGATTGGTTAGCAGATAAGCCCCCTCGTCAGAGAAGCTGTAGGTGGATTTGCTGGAAACACAAGAGGAGAAATCAGAGACTTCAAAAGGCTTCCTCTCCCTGCAAGAGCTCCGAGGTGGTTTGAGTCAGAACTGTGGCCAGTTGCTGAGTCATCTGCAGAGCTGTGGACGTGGGGGGAGGCAGCTCAGATCAGAAGGGGATCCTGGGCCCGGCCATCAGCTGTGCAGCTCTGACTGCTCTCGGGCTGATTCAGGCAGAGCCCGAGTTTATGAAGCGACGCAAGGACCCAGCCGGCGAGGCTCAGGGGCTGAGCATTGACCTAGGATCCAGGGGATCACCGTTGGATTCCCGGTCGGGGCACACGCCGGGGTTGCTGGCTCGATCCCCAGTAGGGGGCCTGCGGGAGGCAGCCGGTCAATGACTCTCTCACATCATAGATATTTCTCTCTCTCTCTCTCCCTTCTTCTCTCTGAAATAAACAAAAATATATTTTAAAAAAAGAAAAGATGCAAGGAGGCAGGGTCTCGACGGGGTGGGGGGTTGGCAGCCACTAAGAGCTCAGCCCCTGCTGCCCCGGGGGCAATGGCCCTGTCTCCCTGCAACAATCAACCTTCTACCAGGCGGACAGCCCATCCCGACAGCTCCATGTCGCCAGCCCCTGAGCCACAGTCTGTTCGGCCACCGTCCCATGCTGTGGCATAATAAATATATATTTGGTTGCTGCTCCCAGGTCCTCACACAGAGCTCCTAATAATTCCCAGAGGGATAGGAGTGTCTCTGATTTTAATGAAGCGACTCTTGCCGGCTCCCGGGTATCTTCAGGGTGGGGGCTGGTCACCTGCACAACCAGGCCGTGATCAGAAGCTTGGAACTTTCAGCCCCTCCCTCCCTCTCCGCCTTCTGGGGGGACAGGGACTGGAGATTGAGTTAAGCACCGATCGTGCCTGAGTGACGAAGCCTCCGTGAAAATCTCTGAATCACGGGGGTCGAAGAGCTTCTGGGTTGGTGACTGAACCCACCTGCCGGGAGGGTGGTGGCACAGCCCAGCTCCACGGGCGGGAACTCCAGGGCTCAGGACCCTTCCGGGCCTCACCCCGGGCGCGTCTCCCCCTGGCTGGGCGTCCGTCTGAATCTGCCGTCACTCTTTAGAATGAACCGTGAACAGTTTCCCGACTTCCGTGAGCCGTTCTAGCAAGTGTGGGCGACCCGGGACCTGGGGCTGGCGTCTGAAGCGGTGGGGGGCCGACCCCTCATCCTGGGGGGTCCGCACCAGCTCCGGGCAGCCGGACGGAATCGACGTGTGAGACGCCGGGCGGGTGTCCGCAGGGAGCTGGGGGCCCGCTTGGCTGGAAGCCCCGCGTTCGGTGGCAGACGTGCTCTGCGGGGAGATGTTTTCTTTCATACGCCCACGTCCTTGCTGCGAGGGGGGAGGCGGGCTCTGCTTTCTCCCGAACCTGAGGCTCAGACTGTTAAAGCGTCATCCTCACGCAGAGACAGAGGTTCCATTCGCCTCACCAAGGGAGGGACAGCCAGCCCGGCGCGACCGATCCGAAGGACCGTCCAGGGAACCAGCATCTCTCCGGCCACCTCCTGAGGCTGTGGGCGGTGGGGCAAAGCGCTCAGGTAGCTGTCCAACCGGCTAATGTCCTCCGGCCAGCGAGCCGTCCCCTCGGGGGTTATCGCCAACTGTCTGCAAGTCCCCGGGCTCTGGCACCTAATCCCTAATAAATCGTGCCAAGGCCCTGGCCGGGTAGCTCAGGTGGTCAGCATTTTGTCCTGTTACGCCAAGGTTGTGGGTTCGATCCCCGGTCAGGGCACATACAAGAATCAACCACTGATACATCAATAACTGGACAGTCAAGAAGAAGGGTAGCTGCCCACTGCTGTGGGTGTTTATGGAAAAATTGACCAGAGCATTGTCATTGGAGGTTAGGATATTTGGGGGACCTGGAGTAGAGAAGAAACCCAAGGCCGAGCTGCCTATCTCAGAGTCCTACTCGTCCCCCTTACATGAGAACTTGGGCAGGGTACTGTCTGTTTGGGCCTCAGGTTCCCCCAAAATAAAATAAAGACGAAAGTGCTGGTGGACCCAAGGCCAGTGACTCCCAGGCTTGTGCGTGTGGATGTGAATCACCTGGAGGCTGCACCGAACAGCAGACTGCTGGCTGCAGGCCCCCCACCTGTCTGGCTCAGGAGGCCTGGGGCCCATGGATTTGCATTCCTAACACGCTGCCCAGTGACCCAGAGACCACACTGAGAATCGGTTAACAGCTCCGAGCTCAACCTTCATTCGGATGACCAAGGCTCTGGGCCTGGCTGTGAGGACGTCACTGCTGCAATGAGGGGACGGGCCTTGCAGGAGCAGAGGACAGGGAAGGCAGTGGGGGCCCCCGCCGCAGGCACCCGGGTGCTTGCCCTGTGCCAACCTAAGTACCCCTGAGGCCCAGTCTCCACCCAGGCAGGGATGGAGGCGGGCAGAGTGCTGAAGAGCAGCTCGAATCTGGATCCCACCACTTAACAGCTCTGTGGCCCCTAGCAAGGGACTCGAGGACTTTCGGCGTTAGTTTCTCCACCTACAAAAGAACAGCAGCAACTTCCATGGCCTGGCCTAAAGAAAATGCCCGATGAGTGGCTATTGCTGCTAGAATTACTGTCGTTCGCTGCCGGGCCCGTCCGGTGGGGAGACGTGGGAGAAGCAGAATCTGTTTCCACAGCACGTCCCAGGCTCCCTCAGCCACACGCCACCCGGCCCGGACGCCCAGCCGCTGATTTTAACCCCCCCCCCCC